TTCTAATGCAAGGTAGAATATGATCGCTAATAATTTAAAGGAAAAAAAAGAGAAATAGGCTTTGACGGTTTGATATAACTCTTTTATGAAGTATACCACTGTGGTATGTGGATTTAAGGTCCATAATTTGACCACTCAAAGACTCTTCTTTCTTTATTTCCTGTTTCTTTTTTGTTTGTTTTTGAGAGATTTTTGCTATAGGGCATGTGTGCTTGTTGAGAGACAGAGAAAGAGACAGACACACAGCCATAAATCACCCTCTAAGCAGGATGGCTACACCACAATCCCTTCTCCATTCTCCTCTTGGGATCTTGGGCAGGCACACACATGTGCTCAGCATGAGATTTAAGCCACCAGGTCTGGGACTCAAAACTGTGGTCAACTACATCAGAGTCCAGTGACATAACCATTACACCATCTGCTCGTCCCTATTTATTTCCTGTTTGTTAAGTCATTTTTCACGTTGCCAAGGTGCTGAATAAATTGCCTATAGATAAAAGAAAAAAATTATAAATTAAATTCTTTAAGAAACTGAAACTTTTTTCATTGTAATAGTCCTAAAGTGTGATTTTTAAATGAACAAGAGAATTCATACTCCATAGCATGTTATTTAAAGGCCTTTTGTGATCTGTCCCAACGTTTTCCTCATCTGTCATATCCTTCCTACCATATTGGGCCCTCCAGCTGTACTACATGTGATCCTTGGAAGTCTAATGCATCGGTTCCTATTTTCATCCATTCTTAGTCTTACATGAGATTTCCTTTATCTTCTGCCTGGCTAATGGTCCTTTAAAGTTCCATTCAAATATTTTCTCTCCAGGCAGTCTGCCCCAAACTACCCCTCCTTCCCCCACATAGGACCCATATCATTCTTAATGTTCTTTTTGTATACAAGGGGTTTTCAAAAAGTTCACAGAAAATGCACATTATGTTAAAAAGTATGCATGGATTGTTTTTTAGAGGGGTGGTCACCAAAGTAAACTTACACTTTAATTCATTTTCCATGAACTTTTTGAAGTCCCCATGTCTTTATTTTCCAGACTAATTCAACTGCTCTCTTTATCAGCAAGGGCTTTATTCCCAGTGCCTTGTACAGCTCTTGGCACATAGTAGACATTTATAATTTATTCTCAAAATTATTGTTTATTGAACAGTTAAAAACAGCGTATCAAAAGACTTGGAAACTTGTCATTAATATGACAGTTGTGGCTGCTTTTTTTTTTTTTTTTTTACAGGCATCTGCCTGTGCTCTTTGGCTATTCATTTATGTACTCTTAGAAGAGAGAACCTGCCAAACAGGGTGGGTGTGTGCGCACATTTGGCTGTCTCAGCAGCTGATACCAAATGTCAGAAGTGACTGTTTTTCCATCTGTCATTTTTTACCTTCCCCCCTCCCCCCGACCTCCACCCTAAAATTATGTTAGCAACAGTTTCTTATCTCTTTACATATTTATGTCAGACAAGGGCACAAACAAAGCATGTATACTTTATCATTCAAGTTTCATAATACCTGGTGATTCTGTGGAAATCCTGTACCTTCTTTTCACAAGCGGCTCTCTAACATGACTTGATAAATTTTCTAGGCTTATTATTAAATATGACTTCCTTGCATTTTACTCAGTGTCTTAAAGATGCACCACATGCAGTGTGTCAGTAAGGACTACAGTAAATTGAAGTGCTTGCATTTATTTGATCTGATCAAATAGTTATTTGCTGTTCAGTGTTAAATTCTGTTTAAAACCTCAACCTGAGAGCACACCCTCTAGCCTTACGTTGTTCTTTGGTGTTTCAACATCTGGGATTGAGCTTTTCCCAACAGTATCAAATTAAAATTCCTCATTTTAGAATTGAAAACATGTAACCTTAGCATTCATTACTAACTGAATTATTGCTTCAACCATATCCTTTTTTCTTAGTCTAACAGATTCACTCCGTTTTTGTATGTCACTCATACTTTCCCTTTCTAACTTTTTTTATCCTATGACAAAGACTTAGGTTGAGTCCGTTTTCTCCCTTAAGCTACTCCATATTCAGTTTTCCAAGGAGAAGCTAGAATCATGTACCTAAGAAGTGGACATGCATGCTGTGAACTAGAACACCTTTTATTATGACGATTTCAAGTCAGCTGGAGCAATTTATCTTACTGCCTGTACTTTTTTTTTTTTTTTTTGAGAGGTTTTTGCTATAGGGCACATGCGCTCACCAGAAAGAGAGAGACAGAGACAGAAAGCTAGAAATCACCCCCCAAGAGGGATGGCCATACCATACTCCCTTCTCCTCCATTCTCCCCTTGGGATCCTGGGCACACACGCAAATCGCCTGGCATGAGTTTAAGCCACCGGGTCCAGGACTTGAACCACATGGGAGTCCAGCAGCATAGCCATTACACTAACTGCTGGTCCCCTTACTGCCTGTACTTCTGAAAGTCACTAGTTATGTAACACCAGAAATTAGTCACCTTATTTTTATTAGCTCTTTGCACCTAAACCCAGGACAGATCAGATGTTAACCACAGTAACTCGGGTGAGAGTAGAGGGACTGAATTAGACGGGCACAGGCAGTATAGAAACACTAATGTCAAGTGATGATCTAATGCTAAATTATTTCTTTAAGTGGATCAGAGTCAAAATTTCGTAACAATTGTATGCTAACTTTTTTACTTTATGTATGTTTTATTATTTTATCATCTTTTAGTATTGCTTTCTTTTTTTTTTTTTTTTTTTGAGAGATTTTCACTGTAGGGCGCGTGCGCTCGCCAGACAGACAGAGAGAGACATAGAGACAGAAAGCGAGAAATCACCCCCCAGGGGGGATGGTCACGCCGCAATCCCTTCTCCTCCATTCTCCTCTCGGGATCTTGGGCACGCACGCACACGCGCCCGGCGTGAGTTTTAAGCCACCGGGTCCGGGACGTGAACCGCGGTTGACTACGTGGGAGTCCAGCGACATAGCCATTACGCTAACTGCTGGTTCCCAGTATTGCTTTCTTTAAAACAAAGAACTCTTACGAAACTGGGATTTAGGGTGGCATAGTGGAATTATAGGATTATTTCAAAGTAAGTAACTTTGTCTTATTTTGAAGATTCTAATTGTTTAAAGAATGTTAGTTTTCTTTCTTTTCTTTTTTTTTTTTTTTGAGAGATTTTTGCTATAAGGGCATGTGTGTTCACTGAAGAGACAGAGAGAGAGAGAGAGACAGAAAGCGAGAAAATCACCCTGTCCCCCAGGGGGGGTGGCCACACTGCAATCTCTTCTCTTCCATTCTCCTCTGCAGCATGAGTTTCAAGCCACTGGGTCTGGACTCAAATTGCGGTTGACCACGTGTGAATCCAGAACCTAAACCACTGTCCACCCACTGGTCCCAAGAATGTTAGTTTTATGTTATTTATTCTGTTCCCTATTTTCCTGTTACTTTGTCTCATGGATTGTTAGGCACACCTTTATACCTGGTATGAAATATAAACAATCTACAGCAGGGTACCATAATTTTATCTAATACAGAGATACCTTGAATCTGTAGTATACAAAGCTCAGCATGATGATAATATGTGACAAAGTTGTGCTGTAACCTTTTCTGTGAATCTGTAGTATACAAAGCTCAGCATGATGGTAATATGTGCAAAAGTTGTGTTGTAACCTTTTCTGTTTTTTTTGCTATAGGACATGTGTGCTTGCTGGAGGGAAACAGAGAAAGTGAGAAATCACCCTCTGAGGGAGTTGTCACACCAAAGTCCCTTCTCCATTCTCCTCTTGGGATTTTGGGCATGAAGGCATGTGCCTGGCACATTTTTCAAGCTGCTGGGCCCAGGACTCAAACCACTCAGTTGACTGTGTGGGTCTGTTTCTTTAACTACAGTACCACTGGCTGACCCGCCTTTTCTGGATTTTTTTTTTTTTTTTTGAGAGAGAGAGATTAGTGAGCTTATACTCCCTAGAGACACAGAGAGACAGACAGAAAGTGAAAAACCACTCCCCAGGGGGAATGGCCACACTGCAATCCCTTCTCCTCTTGGGATCTTGGGCACACATGTACACGCGCTCGATGTGAGTTTTAAGATACCAGGTCTGGAACTTAAACCGCAGCCCACTACATCGGAGTCCAGTGATGTAACCATTACTCCGTTGGTCCCCTCTTTCCTGAATTTTTATGTGTTGAAAGATGTCAAAAGTTGTGCATGTGAAATAGACATTTTGGAGCGTATCATTGCTTTAGATAGGTGAGCTGTTGAGAGTTAAAAATAGTAAGAACTCCCTTTAGGGACTTGTGTCATAACCAAAGAGGTTTTGTGATGATTCCTGATGCCACCACTTAATTGTTTCTCACTGATTTTTTTTTTTTTTAATTTAAGTTTTTGCCTTAGGGCACATGTGCTTGCCAGAGCAACAGTAAGAGCGAAAGTGAGAAACCCCCCCTGGGGGGATGGCCACACCTCAGTCTCTTCTCTTGTATCCTCCTGTCAGGAGTTTGGGCATACAGGCATATGTGCCCAGTGTGATTTTCAAGCTTTCATGTTTGGGACTCAGACTGTAGTCGACCACATAGAAGTTCAGTGCCTTAACCACCACACCATCTGCTGGCCCCTCATTGATTTTAATCAAAGATCTAGCTCCTTTGATCTTTATGTCTTCATTTATTAAAACAATAATCCTGGACTGGCTCCATGGTTTGGTGGCTAAGACAGCCAGATTCCCACATGCAGACCACATGGTTCCAGTCCCAGATCCATTGGCTTGAGAAACACACCAAGCGTGTGTCTACTTGTGTGCCCAAATTTTGGAAAGAAGGGAGAGATGGAGGAGAAGGGATTACAGTGTGACCATTCCCCATGGAGGGTGCTTTCTCCTCTCCTCTTTATCTGTCTCTCTGTCTCTTTCTGGTGAGTGCACACACCCTCTAGCAAAAAAAATAATAACAGTAATAGTGATCCTTAAAATCTTTTCAACACTGAGTCTTCTGTGATTTTGCCTGGAGATGTGATATTATCTTTTTTGTATTTTAGGACCCAGATGATGTGGTACCAGTTGGCCAAAGAAGAGCCTGGTGTTGGTGCATGTGCTTTGGACTTGCATTTATGCTTGCAGGTGTCATTCTAGGAGGAGCATATCTGTACAAATATTTTGCTCTTCAAGTAAGCAGAAAACTTCTTGTTTTTGGCCTTTTTTTTGGTCTTTCCTTTATGTGTATTAGAAAATTGTCCCTAACTTGCTCTAAGCCTATATTTTTGGTCTGTGTCTTCTAGCCGAAGTGATGGTCCTATTTTAAAGCTGCATTTAAAAATCTGATCATATTTTGCTGAACCCATTAGACACAGTCACTGAAAGCAAAATAATGTTTTGAAATGTTGCTGACTAAAAGGGTTTAGATTATTGAGTTGACTATCCTTGTTTTCCTACCGTAATTAGTAGCTAAGAAGTATAGTATTGCCAGCTGCCAGTTGAATAGATACCTCAACCACAAATTCATCATGTTGGTAGACCGTCACTTAACAGCCAGTTTGGGCTCCCCTTCAGTGGTCTTTTGCACTTTGGCCTAGTGTACACTGATGCTACATCTTTATCTTTCTAAGTGCTTGGTGTCTCTATAGAATTAGGCAACTTTAGCAGTGATGTAGAAGAAACTTAGGATGAAAGTTGTTTATAACTTAGAGTGTTTAATAGTAATCCTGGCGATTTATAACATAGAATTTTATAAGTTTTGTTTTTTTCTCCTAAGTAGTCTTAGGAGAAAATCTGTCCATTTACCTTGACAGGAAAATTACTTGTGCAGCTTTTGACTACTTAAAGTATTTTAACATTTCAAGATTTGAAGAAACAGTTGACAACTAGATTAAATAACTAATCTTGAGACATTCCACCAGAGGAGGTATAAACTTCATGCTCACTTTCTATATTAGTTGAGATGATGGCATATTGATAGACATTACAGAGACAGTAGTCATTTTGTCTAATATGGGTTTTTTTGCAAAAAATAACTCTCTTTCTCTCGCTCTCTCTCCATATATATATATATATATATATATGATATAATATAGTGATATAATTGTCCTTTAAAAATACACTGAA